AGTCCTGTATTTGTCCTAATAACTTAAGTGATGGTGTTTATTTTTTGTGTAAAGTGAGCGCAGGTCAGAGGGGGAGTGAGGAAAGCTCCGACATGAGACTCAGTAGAGGAGGACCGGACCTTTAATGAGCGTCTGTCCTGAAGCAGAGCTGGTTATAATTATTCAACGGTGGAAAACGGCTAAAACAATGAACGTAGCAGAAAACATTGGCTGATAGTGTTATCCGTCAAAACGTGGATGGGATGAGTTCTATCGATGTTACAACGACATGTCTTAAATTTCTATCGAAGAAAGGTTATTTCGCCATATGGTCTGTTTATGTACACTGAACTGTCTCAGGCAGGGGTAGTGTAGTGCAGTGCTCGTCTCAGACTTACTTCCAGTCATTCAGCATTTAACCATACAACAATAGACCATACATATGCATGTATGAATGCCTCTGATTGGTCAGCAAACCAGAGGCAGCCCATGCAGGCAGCTCTGGCCTCTGCTCCATCAACCCCCATACTTGTTGTTAGGGAGGGGAGGCAGATATCACATGTTTCTACACAATACTGAAGGCGTAAAACAAGTGTGCACATAGATCATCAGTTACATGGTCGACTGTGTTTCATAGAGTGGTGTTGTGATTAAACATTAGCCCTATGGCAATCTCACATGTTGGATCTGAGGGATGTGTTCAAGGCAGAGGTCGTGATGGAGGTCACAGCAGGTCACTGGCGAACGCACTTGAATAGAGGAGTCATGTTTCCCAACAGCGCTTTATGCCACTGAGTAGGCCCCACGTTCATACTGTGTTATATACAGAGTCTAAATGAGCGAGTGGGTGATGGTAATAGCCGGAGCTCTTCAGTGGGTACACCATGGTTGTGTAGGACAGTTGTCTGTTGGCCGCCTCAACCTCTCTCTGATTCTCTCTCTCTCTCTCTCTCTCTCCCCTCTTCACTCAGCTGTTTGTCACTGCATTCCCTCAGACTGGCAGGAAATAATTGCTTGTCCTCTACACGGTGCTTCAAATAAAAGAGCTGTGTTAATGAGGGCTTTCCTGCACCTCTCATCGCACCCTCCATCACTCACTCATTCTCTTGCTCTGTATCTCCATGACGTGTTCACACTCATTGTTTTTGGTTGTCTGTAGACATGGTTCAATCTGAAGCAACAGCTTCGTAGCAATGGCCGGGGAAGCAGAGCACCAGCTGGGCGGAGGTGTGTCTGTTCCTGGGATGGTTCAATCTGAGCAGAGCAGTCTAACTATGGGTGTCAGTCTGACTGAATTAGGAGCTTTTAAGCATGATGATAGTTATTTCTGGGCATCCTGTGGAGGGAGTCACCGCACCCCTCCTTCCTCTAGAAGATGGAGGGGCAAGCATAGGAGGAGCTGTCAATCACAGCCTATTGTTGCGCGCAGAGGAGGTAACATGCTGTAAGCCCCCACAGTGGGAAATGATTCAACAGCAGGCTTTATACACTTGACACACACACACACACACACACACACATGCACACATGCACACACGCACACACGCACACACGCACACACGCATTCCCCAGGAATATATTGGCAGCTGTTGGAGGTTGGAGCAGCTTTTCGCAATTGGACCCAGGGGTTCACTCCTGGTCCTGCTCCCAGTGTCATTTCCAGTACCTGGAACAACAATGAAGTACCTGTACTAGATTGCTCCTGTTTGATTTGGATGTTTGCACAAAAATATTCCTTTTTAGGATTACAATGTTATAATTGGTATATTGCATGCTTAACAAAGTGCAGATTATTTAAATATGAGCTATAATTATTTTAGTCATGGGGAGACTTTTGCCAGCTGTTTAGGGCCACCACTGTTTAATAAGTGGTGGTGTGTACACTCACACACTCCAATACACAAATGGTGTCATGCCATCTCCAGGCATGTTAATGAGCTTCAGAGCAGTGCTGTGCAAAGCCATGTTTGTCCATAAATAAATAATGGGGCAAAGACAGTGTTGGCTCTATCATGCCATCAGCACCTCATGGCTGACGTACTGCTGGCACTGAATCACAGTTAAAATACCAGGGCTGCTTCTTCCCCAACAACCGCTTCTTCCTCTGCTCCTGACACAAATCTCAGGCTCTGACCAGGGCCCCAGCTCCAGGAGGAGGTGTGGAGCTTATCCATCAGTCAATCACTTCTTCACCACCTCCTTGGCGAACAACTCTCACTGCCAAAAAAAAAGATTTCTGGTCTTGCTGAATGCAGTATGTGTTCAGAGTATGTTTGCTCATGACTGTGGGTTAGAGACACAAATATTTTTTCTTGATGGGTTTATGTGGTTGAGCACATTTCATTATGGTAGCTTTGATCACTGCTGTTTTCTCAGGTAGCTGAAACTGCTCACTCAAACCTTGAATTCTTTGTCACAGTGCTTCACTTGCATGTTGACAGTTTCCCACCAGATGTTGACAGTTGATAAGGAAAAAACAGCAGGGACCTCCTGGATTCCCATGGGGTGGACTGTATCAGCAGAAGGACAGCACAGGGAAATCATTGGCTAATAAGTTTACATGAGTTTGACTTTTTTTTTAAATATCTTGCACAGCTCAATATACATTTATAAAATCTGTCATAGTATGACCTTGCTTTGACAAACAGTTGTGTCAGTACTGGAGACAGGTCCACTACTGTAAACTCAGATTAATTATCAAATGAAGCACTTATGCAAATGAAAGAATCGCAGAGCGTACTTAAAATTCAGCTCTAAAGATGAGATAAGATAAACCTTTATTGATCCACACACTGGGGAAATTCAGTTGTTACAGCAGCAGGCAGATCAGATTAAGGTAGAAACAATTTAAATAGAAAATGCAGATTATGTACATAGTATAGACCTTTTACTGTAGTGGCTTATATAGAAATGTTTGAAGTAATGATGATTACATGAGCAAGTAGGACAACAAAGTTTTGACATAGACAAAGTGTGATGTGGAGTTGACACAGATCTGCAAACTGTTATTTCTGTTAGAAATAGTGCAAATAGTAGGAGTCGAACGACATGAGGAAAAAAAGCTGTGTGGGATTTTATTTTTCATTTCGGATGGTGTTATAGAGTTTGACAGCAGGACCTTCGGAAGCGTTCCTTCTTGCACTGTGGGTGGAGCTGCTGAGGAAGCTGCTCAGGGCCTCCACAGTGTCATGTAGGGGATGAGAGGTGTTTCGCTCCCACATCACCCGCTTAATTCTGCCTAACACAAAGGCAGCAGGTAGATATCGCATGGCTCCAGATGACCATCACCGCTAATGGATACTGCATCAACAGTCTCATTGCATTCGCCACAGCTGGTCTATTGATTGGAGTGTAGTGCCAGCATTATGACATGATGCTCTATTATGCCCCGATTGATTGCTCTCTGATCGGCTTTGCCACCAAACCCCCTCCTCAAGGACAGCTTCTCTCAGTCTGTAATGAGCCTCTGCAGGAGGACACTGGATGAGCGATGGAACAGCAGATAAAGCTGTGAAAGAATTAGTCTGAACCAGGGAGAAAATGTTGGAGTTTTAAAGTGCGTGGTTACTAAAAGATAGAGGGACTGGAGAGTGAGCTCAGAAATACTTGAGAGGATTTAAGTACAGAGGCAAAAAAACCAATCTCCATAGCAAGTCACTGACATCTACATCATCAGTCTGACACAGCTTTGAGCCTCGACAGTGTTTGCCACACCCATTTGATTTTAAACTCTTCTCTATAGTGGCCCACTCCTACGGCAAAGTAAAAAACATTTGTTTTCTCTTGTAGAGCTTCATTTTCCAGCACTTGTTTGTCTGGCCTGAAGCTCATATAGTCAGTTTCTACCTGTTTCATAACTCTCTACTTGACCACAGGCCTCATAAAGCAGTCCTCAGGATCAGGAGCGCTTTACTTCACTGGTGGAATATCACTAAAGATCCTCCTGCCAAAACTGAAATTGGTTTTGGAAGTATTGAGTTGCTCAGCTAGCGAGTATAACTTGTGTTTTCTGTTGAAAGGTCTCCTGAGTGGCCATCGAGCCATGCCAGGCTGTGTGCTTGTCTGCTAATCTTTTCAAGTGTGTGTTTGTGTGTGTGTGCGTGAGCACACTTGTGGTTTAGTCCTCACCATGCTTGCCCAGCACTGGCCTGTGATTATCCAGGTTGCTGGCTACAGTCAGGTCTCGTCTGAGTCTGTGGAAGGCTGCAGTCATCCTTCTCTCTCTCCCCGAGGTCCTCAGTTTCCCTCCCAGATGCTGCCAGCTGGTGTCCATTATGCTGCAGGTGTGTATGTGCCTGCGTGTGTTCCAGCGTGTTATGTTTAAGCTCAGGTGGTTGGACTTTGAGTCTGCGTTTTACCTCGCAACATCAGGCCCTGTTCACCTGCTGATGGAGCTAGATGCTGCTCTTGTTGCTTGTCTGCCTCAGTTCACTGTCGACAGACCACAGACAAGTTGTTTTCTGAAGAGGATAGATTCATGTGAACTGCCAGTTTTAGGAAATCCATGGGATTCTTTTAAAAGTTTCATGTGACATTAATCTTCCTGGCGTTTATTGTCATTGCTGAGTAAGATGGATCAAACTCAAAAGAGGTAATGGTTGTGTTTGTTGCTGTATGTGTTTGAAAATGAGTCAAACAGGGGAGACAGAGTGGCTCTGTGGTTTCTGGTGAGCTCAGTGTGAAGAGCAGCTTCACCATGTCAGCCTGAATCTCAGTCTGTAACGAATGGGGCCAACCCTGCAGTAATCAGATTAAAGGACCTAAGTGACGTGCTGCAAATGTCCCACCTTGTGATCCTGTGCATTCATTTTATTACAGCAGTGAACTAATGAGATTAGCCCTCAAAACAGAGCTGTTCCAACAGGAAGCGGCTGCATAAAGCCACCTCAGCAGCAGCTGGAAACAGCCGGCCTCTAGGTTCAGTCACCTCTCTTTGTCAGCCGTCGTGTAACCCTGTCACTGTCACCTCGCAGCTCTGCTATTAGGCTAATCCATGTTTGTGCCTTGGATTCCCTCCACAGGAAACCCCGGATCAACTCCCAGCTGGTTGCCCAGCAGGTGGCTCAGCAGTACCCAATGCCTCCCCCACCCAAGAAGGAGCGTAGGGAGAGGAGTGAGCGCACAGAGAAAGAGCGCCCAGATGGAGAAGGTGAGCGTGCCAATGGTGAGGGGCGTGCGGAGGGCGAGCGTGTGGAGGGCGAGAGTCCGGAGGGTGAGCGTGCCAATGGCGAGGGGCGTCCGGAATGCGAGCGTTCAGAGAGTGAGCGTCCAGAGAGCGAGCGTCCGGAGAGCGAGCGTCCGGAGGGCGAGCGTCCGGAGAGCAAGCGTCCGGAGAGCGTGAGGCCAGAGGGAGACACCCATGAGAAGGAAAAGAGCGACATGGAACAGCCAATCAAAGACAAACCCGACAGAGAGAAAGACATCATCCCGGCCATCACGAAGAAGCCCAGCAGCAAAAAGACCAGGTCAGAGCAAATGTCAAGCTCTCATCTCTCTGGATCTTCTCCCTTGTGTTGGTTTTGTCCTCACCTGTTCTGTATGTTGTTTTCTTTTAGACCCAAATCAGACAACCACCAGAGCCCGCCCAGCGACAAACACAGCATACAGTCTGGAAAATCAGCAACCAAGACCAACAAGAACTCTCACATTTCCAGGTGTGTAGCAGCATCTCTCACAACACACACACTTTCACATCGATGGCTTCTCAGCACCTCCGTTTAGAGCAACTCATAAAGCACCAGGCTGGTGGGAAAACCTCAGATGATTCACAAATGATCTTTTACACTAAACACCCACTCTCACTTTGTATACACTTGTTCTGACTGTTCATGTGTCACACAATGAATTTAGCAATTCAGCGTAACCACCCCCACAGTGCTGGCAGCCGAAACACACACACATATTGTGGTTGAACTTTTTGGTTATTAAGGTTTGTTTTTTTTCTCTCTTCTTCTGTCTGTGCCCCTCAGACCCAAACTGAAGAACATCGACCGGAGCACTGCCCAGCAGTTGGCCATTACCGTAGGGAATGTGACGGTTATTATAACAGACTTTAAGGAGAAGACCCGCTCCTCCTCCACGTCCTCATCCACCATCACGTCCAGCGCGGGCTCTGAACAGCAGCACCAGAGCTCCGGCTCCGAGAGCATGGACAAGGGCTCGTCCCGCGCCTCCACGCCTAAAGGGGATCTCTCTGTGGTGCATGACGAGTCATTCTGAGGAACCCGCCTCATTCCTTCCCCACAGTCCTCACCCTGCGCCACTCCCCCTTTTCCCCCCACGTTTTGGACACTATGGATCCCATAGGGGGAGAGATTTCACCTTTTCCCATTGCTGCCCTGCCTCCATTCCATGAGCCACCCCTGGATGCTGAGAGGATCAGGTTGGCTGAGAGGAACAGTGTGATGCTTCTGTCAGGGAAAACAAACGCCCTGCTTCGAGGACCTCCTGGTGACACGCGTGGCACAGGCGAGGAGAGCTGGGCTACAAAGAGTAATGCCCCCATCCCAAACGCCCCCTGCGGTAGCATCCAGACACTTGTATGTATTGTTTTATATTTGTATGTGGATGTGAGGCCAAGTCGACTTTTTGTTTTTGTTTTTGTAAAGAAGAATTCTTTGCTGGGCACAATAACCACCATCATTTTAATAACTTTAAACTATTATTACCCTTATTTATTACCTGTTGCACCTGTATACTTTGATATTCTCCTTTTTATGTTGACGCTTTGCTGTGTAGCTCTGCAGATCGATCGTTCCTCTGGTGTTTTTCTTACAGTTTGAAAATGATAGGACATGACTCGAGACACAGACAGACACACACACACACACACACACACACACACACACACACACAC